AGCAGGAATCCTGAATCTTGAAATGTTGAGTTACGCTGTTGGTCACTTGTTTGTAGAATGAATGGATAAATAAGACTCCCTCTTAAAATAATCCTATATCTTTATTCAATTTTTTTTTACTATCCCCTTGTAATCCATTTTGTGAAGAAATATTACCCATAATAATTATGATGTTAACTTCTTGTGAATTGTGGACAACAGATCTTTGTTTTGGAGGAAAAAGGGTTATTCATATATGAATTAAAAATGTTTGTAGAATGAATGGATAAATAAGACTCCCTCTTAAAATAATCCTATATCTTTATTCAATTTTTTTTTACTATCCCCTTGTAATCCATTTTGTGAAGAAATATTACCCATAATAATTATGATGTTAACTTCTTGTGAATTGTGGACAACAGATCTTTGTTTTGGAGGAAAAAGGGTTATTCATATATGAATTAAAAAAGATGTAAGAGAATTTCTTTTAAGATTCTTATTGGTGTAAACCAGTGGTTCTCAAAGGGTGCAGCTAACTGCACTGTAATTTGAAATAAGATACACAATCTGAGCTATGCAAATTGTTTATCTTTCTTTGATGCTATTTCAAAATAGCTTATTTAGTCATTTGATACTGTCTGCACAGCGCCAAATTTAGAAATAAAGTGCTATTCCAAAATGTCCCTTACTCCTCATAGAATAAGGTTTACAGGGACATCAAAATAGCAAGCCTGAAGTAACAGGCTTGCTGCAAAGATGCAGGATAGCTAATTCAGGATACTCTGGTATCCCGAATAGCATTGCAGTGTAGACATAGCCAAAGTGTGCTCTGTGGGCCAATATCTTGCAAGTGAGCTGTGGGCTCAGGGCTTGACCCTCCCATTTCAGCAGGGAGCCTGCCCTGCCATTCCAGTCCCACCCTTTTCACTCCTCCCGCCTTCCTACCCCCCCCGAGATTGGAGTGTCCGCTTCCCACTGTGGAGATGGCGTGAGTGAATCGGTGAGGTCACAGAAGACCTCTTGGGATGCCTTGCCTTTCTGCTTTCTGGGGCTTCTCACCGCTTGGTCCTTCTGGGCCAGCTCCTTGGTCTCCCACAACCAAGGCACTGAGCTAAGATCACTGGCTTCCCCCCTGCCCCCGCCGAGAAGCAGTACAAACACTGAATCTCTTCAGGTCTAAGGAAAGTGTAGTTTAGGGCCCAGCTTCCTGGGATACCACTTCCCAAATGGAATCAGAACCCCAAAAGAATTATTTAGGTAAGTCTCCTTTAATAGTGAAAGGCAGATGTACACACCAATTGCTCCCCCAGGTAATAATTATTTACACTGGGTTATAGAAAACAAAGTGATTTTTATTAAGTACAAGCAGTAGGCTTTAAGTGGTAATAAGTGAAAACCGGCAGTGCAAAGTAGATTACAACTCAAAATAGAAATTCTGTCTTTCTGGATATGGGAGATAAGCATTTGCTTATCTGATAAGGTAATTCCTTATCAGATAGTCAGTCAACTAGTTGACCCTTCCCCCCCATCCTTTCTGCCTCTATCAGAGGCAGCAAACTGGGGGAAGAAGTGGCACTTCAAAGCGGCAGCGCCGCACAGCTAAGCCAGGGATCAGCTCTGTGGCGCTGCCACTTTGAAACCCCAAGGCGATGTTTCAAAGGGGCAGTTGCTGCACAGCTGATCTATGGCTCAGCCATGCAGGGCTGCTCCTTTAAAATGCTGAAGTGCTGTGGAGCTGCCAAGGGGCAGCTGGGTAATCCTCAGCAGAACTGGGATCAGCTGGGGAGCCCTCAGCTGACTCCAGGCTCTGTGCGGCATGCAGCCCGGGGTCAACAGTGGACTCTGAGTGCCTGCTGACCCCGGGCTCCATGAGAGCTCTGTGGCTTTGAAATGCACAAGAGCCCCCACTGGGGACTCTTGTACATTGCAAAGTAGGCACCCACGTGCAGCCTGAAATCAGTGGGACTTCCCACTGTCCCCGGGCTGCACACAGAGTTCCGTATTTCTCCTTTGAAATGTACAAGTGCCTATCGACTGGAATTTCCAGTGACTACTCAACTAGTCAGTTAACTGCAATTTTACATCCCTACCTCTGAGTACTACCCCGTGCTACTTATCTATGTGGGTACTAATGATACTGCAGGCTGTGACCTTGAGCGGATCAAGAGTGACTACAGAGCTCTGGGAGTACGGGAGAAGGAGTTTGGAATGCAGGTGGTGGTCTCTTCAGCCCTTCCTGTCAAAAGTAGAGCCCTAGGCAGAGACAGGTGCATCCTGGAGGTAAATGCCGAGCTGTGAAGATGGTGTTACCAAGAGAGCTTTGGCTTCTTTGACCACGGGATGCTGTTCCAAGAAGGACTGTTAAGCAAGGGTGGGGTTCACCTTTTGTGGACGGGGAAGACCGTATTTGGATGCAGACTGGCTAACCTAGTGAGAAGGGCTTTAAACTGGGTTTTACGGGGCAGGTGACCAGAGCCCACAGGTAAGTGAAAAACTTGGAGGCCTGGAAGATGGCTCAGAAATGGGAGGGAACCTGGACTATAATAGCAGAGATAAAGGAGAGACAAGGCAGAACTGGGGAGCAAAATCAAATCAGTATCTTAGATGCCTATATACAAATGCAAAAAGTACGGGGAATAAGCAGGGAGAACTTGAAGTGCTAATAAATAAACACAACTATCACACAGTTGGTATCACACAGACTTGGTGGATAATACACAATTGAAATATTGGTATAGAAGGGTACAACTTGCTCAGGAAGGCTAGGCAGGGGAAAAAAGGGAGGAGGTGTTGCCTTATATATTAAAAATGTATACACTTCGACTGAGGTGGAGATGGACATAGAAGACAGACTTGTTGAGAGTCTCTGGGTTAGGTTAAAAGGGGTAAAAAATAAGAGTGATGTCATGCTAGAGGTCTACTATAGACCGCCTACATAGGCTGAAAAGGTAGATGAGGCTTTTTTTTTAAACAACTAACAAAACTGTCCAAAGCGCGGGATTTGGTGGTGATGGGGGATTTCAATTAAATTATCCAGACATTTGTTGGGAAACTAATACCACAGGGCACAGATTATTCAATAAATTCTTGGAATTCGTTGGAGACCATTTTTTATTTCAGAAGGTTGAGAGAGCTGCTTAGGGGAAGCTGTTCTTGATTTGATTTTAACAAATAGGAAGGAACTGGTTGAAAATTTGAAAGGCAGCTTGGGTGGAAGTGACCATGAAATAATAGAGTTCATGATTCTAAAGAATGGTAGAAGGAAAAACAGCAAAATAGAAACCATGGATTTCAGGAAGGCAGATTTTAATAAACTCAGAGAACTGCTAGGTAACATCCCATGGTTAGCAAGACTAAGAGGAAAAACAACTGAAGAGAGTTGGCAGCTTTTTAAAGGGACATTATTAAGGGCCCAAAAGCAAACTTTCTATTGCATAGGAAAGATAGAAGGTATTGCAAAAGACCACCTTGGCTTAACCAAGAGGTCTTGCATGATCTAAAAATCAAAAAGGAGTTATATAAAAAGTGGAAACTAGATCAAATTACAAAAGTTGAATATAACCAAGCAACACAGGTGTGCAGGGGCAAGATTAGAAAACCACGAAATGAGCTAAATCTAGTGAGAGGCATAGAGGTTAACAAGATGCTCTATAAGTATATTAGAAGCAAGAGGAAGACCAAGGACAGGTTTGTTCAGTGAAGATGGAGAAACAATAATAGTAACTTGTGGGAGATCAGATACCGCTACTCTGTGAGCTATATTGGTGTTTTCTTGCTTTTTCCTTCTTTGCAGTTTTTCGAATGAAGCTTCAATTTGAGCATCTTAAACACAGAGCGTCTGCTGGGAGAATTCTTTTGGTCCTCTGTACTAACAGAAGGCTCTTTTTTGGACAAAAGTATGACAAAAAAGAGCAGTAAACTTTTGGAATGCAATGCAGATTCTTCCTTGCCTTAACAGGATGTACTTTTCTTCCTCTGAAGCTAGAATCTTATTACCTTCAGTGCCTTTAAATAGCCTATTACTAATTAAATTAGCCCATTCTAACTTCAGTGGACATAGAGAACAACTGATAACCTCTTTCATTATAAAAGTCCTAGTTGGAAAATTATCAGGTCCCCAAATCAATTATCTTTTTTCAAGACAAAATATAACCTTTTTTTCAATCTTTCATCATAGATCAGATTTTCTAACACTTATCATTTTCTACTCTGGACTCTCCCGTTTGTCCACATCCTTTCTAAAGTGTGATGTTCAGAGCTGGATGTGGGGGTCTCAATAGCAGGGATGTTAAAACACATTTACCTAAATAAATGCATAACTGCTGACATTTTCAGTGATTATAAGTTTACGTGTGTGGGGGGGAGGGTTTCACTGGAATTACCCCCCCACATTTCTGCATCTGTATCTGAGGCAGCAGCGTGGAGGAGGAGGGCCCTATGTGTAACAATAAATGTTAACCGATTGAGTCTAGGCTCATCGATTAATCATGTGAAAGGGTAAACACGTACATGCCTACTGCCGAGTAGAACAGCTACCTCCTGTGTCTGTCTTGAAACACTCCAGAATATTAGCCTTTTTTGCAATTTAATCATATTGATGAATCCTATTCAGTTTGTAGTTCACCATAATCCCCTGGTCTTTCAGAAGTACTACCATCTAGACTGATTCTGTAGTTGTGCATTTGATTTTTTCTTTTCTAAATTAAGTATGTGTGCACTTGTCTTTTATTAAATTACATCTTATTGAATTCAGACCAATTCTTCTATTTGTCAAGGTCATATTGATTTTTCAGCCTGCCCTCCAAAGTGCTTGCTACTCACCTGATGTTGTTTTCAGATTTTCTAAGCATACTTTCCACTCCATTATCCTAATCATTAATAAACATATTGAATAGTCCCAGACCCAGAACTGACTCCTTTCAGTCCCTCCTAGATAGGCCTTCCCTCCAATTCGACAACAAATCTCTTTTGAATATGGTTTTTCTAATGCTAATATCTAATGTACAATGTGACCACAGTATGCGCTACCTATCGGATGATATTGCCACAGCAGCCCTGTATCCAAGGTTGGTCCTTGGTTATATTTTTTTTTGTTCTGTGCAGCACCAGTTTGAGGTTGAATATCAGGGCATCTATGAAGAAACCAAGATCAAAATTCATAGCGGTGTGGTTAATTTTTATCTGCATTATCTTTAAGATGGAATTAAATTTGATTCTAACATCCTAAAACTGTGTTGGTATCTAGTTGAGAATGTGGGGTTAAAGAGCATTTGCACATCTATGTCTAGAGCACTGAGAGTAAATACCTGTTGTCTTAGAATAAGATCAGCTTGCCTGCTCCACTCTGAGTTGGCTCTTTGAGGGATTGTATGCATATACATTGCACAGTAGATGTATGTGTTTTCAGTGCATTTGAGTCCGAGATGGTTGCCAGCAGAATTATTAGGTGGCACACAGGCTCCTGCTCTCCGTGTGCTGTCAGGAGAGGGCGTAAAAGGGACTGTCTTTCTAGTCCCAAAGAAATTTGGTGGCCTCCAGAAATATTTCAGATGCAGAACTATTTAATCAAGAATGTAAAGTTTAGAATGATCTTCCCCACTTTTATCTCTTTCATAGAGACAAGACATAGGGTACGTCTAGACTACATGCCTCTGTGGCCAGAGGCATGTAGATTAGGCTACCAGACATAGGAAAATGAAGCGGCGATTTAAATAATCGCCGCTTCATTTAAATTTACATGGCTGCCACGCTGAGCCGACTAACAGCTAATCAGCTGTTTGTCGGCTCAGCACGGCAGCCATGTAAATTTAAATGAAGCGGTGATTATTTAAATCGCCGCTTCCTTTTACTA